TACTCGAGTCAATAACTTTTCCAGTTTTTTGTGGTAAAATTAGGTGCCTCGGCTTATATTCGGGTTGGCCTATACTCGAGTATATACGGTATATGATGTAAAACAACTGGGAGAGCAACAACTGCAGAATACTTATTTTATAGGTTTTTTTTTTCTTAAGTCAGTACCTTTCAATCTAAATCAACCCCAATCAATGAAAAAAGTAGATTGTGTGCTTCACTGTGTACGTCTTAAGTAAAGATAGTGTGATGTTAACAGAGAAAGAAACCACAACTCGTTAGAGATGTGCTTCGAATTGAATCCCTGGCATTTTCAGATAGGAGAAGCAAGTGACAGTGGATAGGAACACTTTGGTTTTGCTACATATCTTGGGGGACTGGTTCCAGTTACAGATGAACAAATTAAGTTGTTTAAGGTATCTGCCTCTGTTACAGCTGTATCCTTTGCATTCATTTTACATCACTAAACACATTTTGAAAACCACAGTCAATAAATATGGTAAACTCAAAATAATAAAATTTATGAATGCCCATAATTTCTCAAAGAGCTCTGGTGGCACAGTGGTTAGAATGAAGACTTGCAGTCTAACTCTGCCCACAGCTAGGAGTTTGATCCTGATGGGATTTGAGGTTGATTCAGCCTTCCATCCTTCCAAGGTCAGTAAAATGAGGACTCAGATTGTTGGGGGCCATATACCGACATTATAAAATGCACAGAGGGGTGGCATATAAGTCTAAAAGCTATTGCTATAATTTCACCACAATTATACCTACAATACATGTTTTGGTTCTTTAAGACACGTGAAGGCATATATACCCTTATTTCGATCTACAATGAATGAGGTTTTCATTATTTTAAAAGCAAGAGGTACTAAATGAAGTTTATTATGAGTTACCAGCAAGTTCAAAAGTCTTCATGATTCTGAATTCTGCTTAAGTCAGGCACCCTAAGAAAACAGTGGATATTAAGAAGCAAAATCATCTCTGTCTACACTTGCCAGGATCTAACACTTTAGAAATAGTGTCCTAGACAAAGCTCAGGTGATTAATTTGCCTGTACTTTACTCACCATGTTACTAAACCTAGGCTCCAACATTATTCCCTCTTACACCTATAGCAAGTTTCATGGGATTAGGTTGCTTACGGCAAATATCTTAATTTCAATTAACATAGGGGAATGAATCCTGAAATGGCACAGTAGAAAATACCATTAAAGGTGACACACGATATAAGCTCCTGTCCACTTGTTTTATGATATTCAAAAATTATTTTGCATGCATGTGTAAGAGAGCCAGCATCTCATCATATCCGACAAGAGCTGGGGTGGCGCAGTGGTTAGAATGCAGTATTGC